TACTACCTACTCCTCGAGAAGCACTCCGCGTATCGTTTACTACTACCCCTACTTTTGTCTACAACACTTTCTTTAGCATCTACATTTGCTCAAGGAGTTACATTCCCATTGTACTAAGACCCTTACTGTTCCTTCGTTTTCCTCATTTACCACTATAGTATCATCATCATCATCAAACTATCGAACGAGTATGTCTGCTAATATTGATAACACATCTTTTTCTTCAACCACTGCTACTGTACAAGAGAATACGGCGAGCAGTGAGCCCGGTGAGCATGACGCTCGTCCACGCCAATCACCGCAGACTGGAGGAGTACCTGGCGGCATCTCAACTGGCTCAGCTTCAAAGGAGGAGGATCATCATCAACAACAACAGCAGCAGCAAATTGGTTCTGGTGTTGGCCCTGCTGACTTGTCCCCGAACAGCACGACTGTGCCGAACTCTACTCCAGGCAACGCTACTTTCAACACCACTGCTACACCAACTATGGCAGCTCCCTCGTTACCTGTAAGTTGTTGGTATAGGGAGACTTGGTTTCGTCCGATGAGTACTCTGTTGTCATTCAGTCTAACGGTTCGATGACTTACCAAGTTGCCTCTTCTCCCGCGTCATCGGTATCCCACACAAGCAGCAAGGTGAGTCGGCATTCTCCGTTACTTTTGCTAATGTGTGGTTCGTTATTCAGGTCCTTTACGTCCGCAATATACCAATGTCCCTGAGCGAGCAGAACCTCATTGCTTACTGCCAGTCTTTTGGTCAAGTGACTAATATACTGATCCTCCGGGACAAGCGTCATGGCTTTATCGAGTTCGAGAACGAGACGGAAGCTCGTCGGTGTCACGCCTACTACAGTGCCAACCCACTGACCATTGACGGCCAGAGGCTCGACTTTGCGATATCACGTTTCAGCGAGATCACGGGGAGACGAGTAAGATGACGACATTTGTCCCTGGTTTTGACATGTTTCTTTCAGTATCCCGATTTGCACCCGCCGAACCGCATTCTGCTGTTCACCATCACCAATGTGGTTTACCCAGTGAATGTGTCGATGATAGCACAGGTATGTCGTCTCTCCTCATTTGCGATGTGCTGAAACAAAGCTCTTGTTTTAGGTCATGAGCCGCTATAATGCCTTAGAAAAGGTCGTCATCTTTACCCGTGGGAACGCCACGCACTGTCTCATTCAAACGAGCTCGCTAGAGGCCGCTGGTAAAGCTCCTCAAGCATAGTTCGGATTGCCTAGTGATGTGTTCCCTTGCTCAGTTGCGGCTAAAACCCAATTGGATGGGCAGAACATTTTTACTCACTGTAACACAATTAGAGTCCAGTTTTCCGAGCTTTCCAAATTGGAAGTCAAATATAACAACGAGCGCTCCTGGGATTATACCAATCCCAGTCTACCAAGTAGGTGCCGGGTGGTTCTAGTTGTTCAACATTATTTCAATCTGTTTTCTCGCAGGTGGTCCACCGGGTGCTATGGCAGGCTCTGGCCTGCTCGGTCCGCAGCAGCGAGGTATGAGCGGAGGTAAGGACTGTCGTCTATCCGCTTCGGCTCCAATTGTTTCCCCTGTGATGTTCAGTCGCTGCTACCCCAGTCGTGTTCGTCCTTGGGTTGAATGAGAAGGACACAACTCCAGATGACTTGGCTGCTCTTTTTGCGGTCTACGGCAACGTCGTTAAAGTCAAGATCATGTATAAGGCTAGAAATAGCGCTTTGGTACCTAACGCGGGTGTCCTCTGTTAGCCATCTTATTCGTGTTTGAATAGGTTCAAATGCAAACGGTTGGTGAGTGTCATACGGCAATCGCCCATTTGAAGGGCATTCGGCTACACGGCAACAAGCTTACTATGGAGATGAGTAAAGGTGGCCGAGAGCTGCCGCCGATTCCTCCGCCAGGTAGGTTCGGTAGTCCTTTCACGTTGTAGGTTATTGATTGCTGTTAGGCGCCGAGCAAACTGAGGCTGATCGCCTGAGCCGGGACTACACCAGTCAAAGCTATCTGTATGCTCGGCATCGTGCGGATCAGACCAGCAGACCCTTCCCACCCAGCTCCAGCTTGTACTTCTCCAATATGCCCCATGGGACCACGGAGGAGGTAGGGTGGTCGAATAGCAGTTTATCCATCGTACTTGTCTTTCTCAGGATCTTCGTGAACTGTTGGATGCATCCGGGTGTCAGTATACTGGTATTCGTTTCCTCAATGAGCAGCATCACATGGCCATTGTGCAGTGTATCAGTCTTGACAACGCTATTGAATCACTGTGCCGTGCTCATGCTAAGTAAGATTGTAGTATTTCGGAGCCTCGCATCCTTCCCATTTTTTAGGCCTGTCGGTCATCCTCCGAGGCCGGTTCGCGTCGGGTTCGGCAACACTGTCCCGAAGCGCCCTGTGACACCACCATTCACATCTGCACCGATAGCCGTGATGCCTACTTTTGCAAATGGAGCTCCAATTGATGCGTTGGCATATCAAGGTCGCAGCCCTCCGGTTCAAGCAGCTACTCCTGCAGGGGACATGTCTGTAGCTGGTTCTTCTCAAGAGTCTTTTGAGATGATGAGTGGCATCCGAACTATGCCGAACCCGTACCAAGCTATGATGATGGGCAATACTCGAGCGCCGCCACCAGGAGTTCAACGGCAAATTAGTGCTGGCCCTCCTGGCGGGCAATTGTATTCGTCTCCAAATCCGATGAGGAGTGGCAATAATGCTCAGCAACCTTTTTGAGAAACTGTAACATGATGTTTTCCTGATGTGGGGTAGTCTTACCTCTTGAACGAGTCCGGTTCGTATAGTAATGATGATAACGCCTGATTGTTGTTGGCATCAGCCTTGGCTGAGGCCGTTTGCTGCATAGTGATTATTATGCTTGTTCGACCGCATTCCTGCCTTTCCAATTCGCTGGCGGTGTTCAGGGGAGAAAATCGGAACTCCCGGCTTGGGAGGACAGTTGTCCTTTATTGTTTATGGTTGTTTCGATGCTGTTCGTATCCTCCATATTGATTATTTTAATCCTGTATTTTCTCTGTTGAGCAATTCGCCTTGTACC